GACCCCGATCCTCACGTGATCGGATATCGGCGAATAGCGGCGCGGCGGCACGTGGAAACCAGACGCGCAACTCTGGCTCCCGTAGGGAGCCTATTCAGGAACTCTACTAACCCTTTATAACCTAATGGCAACATATGTTGCCAAAAGTAATTGATTTATTACAGGTCATGTCTAAAGAACAGAACTTTGAAATCCCAACTGCTACGTTCGTGCCATTCCCGCGCTTCAAACAACTCCCAATGGATGGCACAAGGCGTCCAGTAATGTGCGGCGGGCAGAACAACACGATGGCTATACTTCCACGAGGTGCGGCTCACTGTATGTTCCCCTTGTTTTAATATTATTCTTTTATAAAAAAAACTTTTTTTTTGTATGAATTACTTTTTTGCATAGATAGGAGTCCCTGACGGTGCATTCTGCATAATTTTAAAGGGTAAAAGCACTGTAAAATGTGCACAGCGCCTGTTTTCTTGACAGCGTCCACGTGCGTTGCCGTCAGGAAAATGGTGCTTTATATTCTCGCTCGCAGCATTCACGGTACCGTGGAGGTCTCTCCTGTGATACATACGTTATAAAACAAGTGTGTCTGCATACGCACACATTGGAAGTGTTCTCGCAAACATTTTTTTTTTCTGTGACAGGCGTCAACCTTACAGAAGAAGATATTCAAGCTATTATTTTCGACTGCCCAAGTGGTAGCGAATGTTCCGAGTTGGACAATTCAGATGATGACCATGTGGAAGCCCCAGCCAGTCAGGATTCCTCCGATGAGTATTCATCGGACTCATCCGACACAGATGAATCACAAGTGCAGGAATCAACAACTGTGAACGACAAGGTAGAAAGGACATGGCACTGGGTCAAAAAAACTTGCAACTCAATGAGGGCTTTCAGACAAGTGAAATAATTCTATGGGTGACGGCAGCAGAAGTGAAAACACCACTAAGTATGTTCACTTAGATCGTTGATGAAGATTTGATAGAACATTTCACGATTGAAGCAAATCGATACAGGATCCAGGAATACAAACCAAAGGTGAAGCTGATCAGAAGCGAGGAAATCAGAAAATTTATTGGGATGATTCTCTACATGTCTGTAGTGTCCTTGCCCTTCAGACGATGTATTGGTCACGGTTGTTGCGCCAGTCAGGAATTGCTGAGTGCATGCCCCGTAATCGCTTCGATGAAGTGATTTTCTTGTTCCACAACAGCAACAATAATGAAAAAAAAAAACAACAAAGCAATAAACAACAAAACAATAAAACAGGACGGCTATGGCAGGCTCTACGAGATACATCACATCCTTGACCCACTCAATAAGAAGTTTTGGCAAGCCGCAGAAATGGAGCCCTGCCTTGCAGTGGACGAGATGATGATACCTTTTAAGGGAAGACGCAACCTGAAGGCTTATATATTGAAAAAGCCGAAAAAGTGGGGTTATGAAGTTTTGGACACTTGCTGGAAGGTCAGGCTATGTCTATAAAATCAATCTTTACGGTGACAACGTTGTTGTTGACCTAGAAGACATTTAAAACGAAATAGGTGAAAGTGGAAAGATTGAAGTGCGACTTACTGATGGCTGTGAAGGAAAAGAAATCTCCTGTGACAACTTGTTTGCGTCAGTTGAACTTCTAACTGAAATGAAGCGCCGCGGGCTTGGATGCACCGCCACTCTGAGGAATAAGAGGATGGGGCGTTGCCCACTGAAGAACCAGAAGTCTCTTGAAGTCCGAAGTACCTAGAACGAGCTGGGTCAAAGTCTACAACCAGAGTATGGGTGGTGTTCACCGAGCGGATCAGCTTCTTTCATTCTACCGAAACGAACTCAAGAGCAAGAAATGGTACACGAGGATCATTTTTCACTTGCTTGATCTGCTTGAGCCCTACCACGCGGTAAAGGGCTCTCCCAGCTGCAGCTTGCGGAGTTCAAGCTGCAAGTGGCAATCGGCTTAATGAACGAAGAAGATGCTACTGAAGCAGGCCTCGAAAACAGTCGGTTCAACACACTGTCGAACCTAGCCTCGGACATTCCAGATTCGGTGAGATGCGATGGTGTCACAGTGACTCTAGTGTTAACCATGTCCTGATGAAGGTCCCGCTAAAGAATGTGCCGCGATGAAAGCTGCCAGGATGCAACCGACGTAGCAGGATGCAATGCAGGAAGTGCTGGGATACCTTTGTATTAAAGAGTATTGCGAAATTGAACAATTTCGCAGAGTGACCTGGTATTCCTGGCGTACACATATCTGTACATCACTTTTGTTCAAGAAAAAAAAAAAAAAACGTTGTTTAGACCCGTTCTAGTTTTTCTGTTTTATTTATTGCCCTCAAAGTAAAACCACGTGGTAAGATTTGTATTTGTGCAAGTGGTAACGTTATGGGAAACAAAGGGTTAAGGAACTCTTCTAAGGACGAATTGGCAGCGCCATCTAGTGGGGAGCCGAAGAACATGCTCCGTCTCACCAGCTGGCTTCGGCGCTGGCAAAGGCCAGCCTCCAGGCTGCAAAAGCGTAGTTCTGAAAAATCCTTCGCTCGCACAAGGACTCGCGCACAGAAAGCGCTTTCCAAAACCAGGCGCCCGAGCCCGTGCCTTGGTCGGTATCCAAAGCCAAATTTCAAGCTCAAGCTTACGTCCGGCTTCAACTCCACAACGCACGATATCAGGAACGCCTCGGCATCCTTCAAGAGGACAGTATTACACACCGCTCCTCCCTGGACACGTGCGAAAACAGATCTTCCTCCAATCCAGCAAACTAATTCCTAAGCCACCTTTCGGACGTTTCAAAAGCGCACCTTACCTTCGGATAAAAAGTCTGGCCTAGATATGGCTCTTATGAGTGTGAAACTTCGTACCACATATAAAGTGGATCTCTGGACATTCATGGATTTCTGGAAATGAGCTGTGTAATCAGCAAACCCGCGAGACTCTTGACCAGGCTCCAGCGATCCCCTAGTTCAGACCATCGTTTTGGGACGCTTCCCTCAAAACTTTATTTGTACCGTTTCCGCTTTGACCCCTCCTGCCCCAATTATCCTGAACTCTATGTCAATATCGCCCATTGTCTCATATTTAGCCCGGTCGCTTTTCAATCTCCTTTTTACTCCCTCCATCATCCTCAGTCCTGTCCCAATAAAATGATTCTCTCTTTCCCTTCTTGTAAAAATGGAATTGCTTTGGTTAGTATTTTCCTTTACCAGTGGACGCTGTTGAACTTCGTTATGTTTAAGGCACAAACCTCTGTTCTAGCAGGTTGTGATGAAGGAACGTGTCTGTGGCATAAATACCTTCTGCCTAAAATTTAATTATACAGGGTGTTTTTTCTAAGCTTAAGAAATTTGTTTGAAAAAAAAAGTCGTGGAAATTACAATTATGTAGTCTTTGCAGGTGAGTTCTAGAATCGGTGCGATGAGGCGCAGGCGCGATTTTTACGTTTCTTATCGTAGCTGCACTCTTGTACCTGTTGCACGAGTGGTATACAATTACCGCAATACTGTTTCCTACGCGCTAAAAATATTTATAAAAAAATAATTGATTTGGTGGTTTCCGACGACTCTCAGCAAGTTTGTAATTGAAACAAGATGTAATTAAAAGTGAATTAACATATTTACTGAATTAGCCGACTGATCATATAACCGTATAACTCACCTGCACAAACCTCATAAGTGTGGCTTTCATGAATTTCTTAAAACAAATTTGTTAATCTTAAACACACACACACACACACACACACACACACACACACACACACGCACGCACACGCACACGCACACGCACACGCACACACGCACGCACGCACGCACGCACGCACGCACGCACGCACGCACACACACACACACACACGCGCGCGCGGACACACGCACACACACATAAAAAGTTTGCGTTTAATTCTCCGCATGACTTGCTCAATGAAAGAACAGTTCGCTGGTGTTTAATAATTTTTATAGTCTTGCGCTTCAAAAAGCAGTAGCCCCACGTACTTACTTTTCAATAAATAAGTCTGCGTAACAGCGATGTAGTAAACTTGTAAATAAATTTAATCAGTCTTTTCAACGCCTTTTGCTATACACTTTCACGTTTAATATGGTACTTTTATTGCCCCTACATGTATTACAAATTATGGAAAACAAACAATACGTTATGCTTTACCTTTTTTGTTGAATGAATATTGTGATCAAAATATAGATGTAGTGGAAATGTCAAACAGCAGTGTACTCAATTTGTATTTTAATACTTAAGAACGTATTCCTTATGTGCGCACTATATTTGCATTGTTTATTTCTGAACGCATTTTATTTATTTTTGTGCTCCGTCATAGCTGCTGAGTGGGGGGTCCGGAGCTCGTCAAGCTGCATTTCTGCAGCTTTTTCTCCGGCCTCCCATTCACCACATGTATCTGTGGTGAGAATAAAGTTTGTATTGTATTGTATTGTATTGTATCTGAAGAAAATAAAAATAGTTTTAAGAGCTGTGATGATTAATAACATCGCTTGTATCAGAAAAAAAAGAAAGTAATATAACTCGAAGAGGGGAGTTATGCGGTAAATGGGAGCTATTAAGTATAAAAAATATAAATGAAATAAGGTCATTTGTGGGACACAAAGAGTGCCACCATAAGGAGTGCAGGGGCTCTAAGTTGTACGCTCGGCGAGAAAGACGTCAAGATTGTCCACTTTCTCGCCGAGTGTCCAAGTCCCGAGTTCAAATATGGCCGCAGCCGTGTGCGCACATAAATTCAGCGAAAGCAACGTGGGAATGCGGGCGAGGCCTTAATTAAACAGCAATCGTGTATATTTATATAAAAAGGATAGCATCGTAAACACGACCAACTAAATTATTAACAAAAATATGTCAGTGAAATCAGGTACGCTCACATCTTCAAGTAACGAAAATTAGGTAAACACATTTTTTTCCCCTAATGCTTCGCAAATGTTTATTTATGATGCCGAGGCCGCACGTGGTCCTGGCAGCCGAGGAGGCCTGGTCGCTGATCCACTCGGCGATCAGCGGCTCCATGTCAAAACGAAAGGTTTCGTAAGCTGGTAGTGGAGGCTGGACACCTTCATGAACTGCGAGTTGGCAAAAAAATGGAATGTTAGGTGTGCATATAGACCAGTGTCCGAAATCCCAGCCCCAGCAATAAATTAAGAAATAATTTCAAAAGTAGGCACTTATAAAGAGAGGGACTGCGCATAAAGCAAGATTTTTGCCTTTTGTAGCACTTGTGGCATGGGTGTTGTTCTTGGAATTTCGTGACTATGCATTTCTGACTTTCTTGCACTACAATATGTGCAAAAATTAAAACAAACAAACAAACAAACAAACATACAGAATTTTGCAAAGAAAGCAGACCCCTTACTCTGTCATCACGTCAGCATAAACAAACCTGGCGGCGCCCATGGAACAGTGCAGACGCTGGTCTATTAGAGCAATACCACCGGCGCTTTACGCAAACATTAGTGGACGAGCCCGACAAGTGTCAGGCCAGGACGACATGCGTCCTGGCATCGCCGCAGACGCACTGTCGGCGACACTGATGAGAGCTAGAGTGCGCTGTGTAGGTCTATACCTGTGACGACATTTGGGGGACCAAGACGCGGACCTTGGCTTCTAGGTAGTACTGATTAGAGCCATAAGCTACGCTTAGAGTACGGACGTTTCGTTCACCTTCGTTCGACTGATCAGAGAAGTTACAACAATAAGTTTTGGCTACAAGATGGCCGGAGTGCCGTTACTGTGAAGCCCAGCTTATTAGGTGACTCTGTATGGGAACGTTGAGAGAAACAGCGGAGACACTTTGACACAATACTCGCGAATAATGGTTGGATAACTTATTTAAAATCTAGGGCTCGTGTTTATTTTTATTTACCTCCAACGGTACGGATGAAAAACATCATTACTAAATAATTAGTATTTTCTTTGTATAACTTTTATTTTTGCCTAAAAAAACGGATATCTTGCTTTCTGTCACCTCTGTTAGCTTGTGCTTCTATGTTTATCTTAATCTATGCGAATGAAAAGTTTTTCGTCGACGTTCGAGCCAGTAAACGTTTTGTTGAAAGTCGAAAGCCTGTCTTGTCTGTTTGTCTTCAATGTCCCTCTTTCCATATCGTAAATTAGAAACCAACACGCTCAACCATCTACATTATACTTCCGTGAGCTTCATGATATATGTGCTGTCCTGCTGGTAACCCACTGAACCACCTGGAGTTTGACCCATCCTCGTTCTTCCAGGCCGCCATCTTCGTGTCAAGGATGAGTCTCCTCCGCCTGTAAATGCGAGCCTTGGGAGTCTGCCTTCGGGAAAACGTGGCCCATCCCTCAGTTCACCGTCTCCTCGGCTTCGAACCATCAAGTTGGCCTTCCCCTTACAGAGTAATGTAGATAACAAGGAAGGAAGTGTCACGGGAAATCCGTGTGATGAGGACTGGGCTGTGCCCTCTGATGACCGGATGCTTCGGCACTTGCTTCTACACGCAGCCCGCCTTCGTTTTTCTTCGGAAGTCTTCAGACCTCCTCCTTGAGAAATCGTGGAGACGCGTGCTCCAGGGCATCCTCGCAGGTTCTGCCTCCCGCCGCAAGGCAGGCTTGGATCCCCCCCATCAATCTGTCAGACACCGATTTGTCGGCACAGGCAACTGCCCTTCTTTCAAAAGGCTCCAAGTTCGCCATTATCAAGAGTTTACCAGCTGGCCTCCGTCTACGAGATTGCGGCGAGGGTCCCGGAGAGTGATTGACAGGACTTTGTCGGGGCGGCGGCCGGCGTGGTTTGCCATCACGGTGGCGCGAGTGCACCGGTGCGCTCGGAGGTGACACGCGTCGTGGAGGATCTCCGCCGATCCGACCTGGTGCTTTTGGAGGCGGACAAGGTGGGCCGATTTTTTGTAATGAGCGGAAACAAATTTGGAGAGAAAGTAGATGAGGCACTAAAAAAGAACTTTGTCCCCCTAAAAAAGCGCCCATCGGGTACACTCCGGTCCGAAGTCAAATCTGTTTGCGATTTTCTCAGCCTCCCTTCCCTAAAAACGCTGGTTTCTGCTCCGTCAAAACAGTACCTTTCCATCTTTTTCACGGCAAAACGCACAAGCCAGACATCCCCCTTCGAAGCATATTCTCTGAGGGGGGATGCTGGCCAGAAACCTCCCGCCCTCTTCCTACAAAGGCACCTTTCCTCCATTGATCTTCCCCACCCCTTCCGCGTTAAGGGCTCCCTTGAGGTGATTGATTTTATTCGACCGTTGCAGTTAAATCAGGACCACAACATGCTCTCGGTGGATGTCGAAGACGTGTATTACAATCTCGACCTCAAAATTCTTCTGTGCTCTGTGTCCGAGGCAATCGACCTGCATGGAATGACGAGGTTCCAAAACGCGTCCGCAATCCCGGTCGGAGGCTTCCGCGATCTCCTCCGGCTCTACTTGAGCTTTACTCTGGTTGAGCACGAGGGAAGAGTCCTCATTCAGAGGTCGGGCGTGTGTATCGGTTCCTGCCTCGCGCCGATCCTCAGCGAGATTCATCTTTTTTTTTTCTTTTTGTGGATCGCGCGGTGCAGGAGCTTCTTGCTCGCTCGGGTAATGAATGTAAGATCGTCTGGTACGTGGACGACTACCTCTTTCTTCATCCCGTCTCCAACTCAGATGCTCCCATCCTTCAGGCTTTCCAAACCAACGCCAACAGCCTCACCTTCAAAAAGGAAGACCCTACTCAGGAGGGTCTCAAATTTCTCGATCTTCGACTAACCCACTCGTCCCACCCTTTATGCTGGTCTTTTCAAAAGCGCTCCCAGAAACCTGTCCTCCCGTTCTCTAGCCATCATCAAAAAACCGTTAAGTCCGGAATTGTTCAGTCTCCCCTTTCCTCCTCTTGAAAAAAGTCCTGCGATCACAAGGTCAGAGAGAGCTTGCCGCTGCAGGCAACCAGGCTCCGGAAGGCGGGTTACCCGGTGGACCTCCTAGATAACACCAGCAAGAACCTCATCCTGCAGTCTAGAAGCCGCTCAAAGAAGGCCCCCTCCGGGACCCGGCCTGCCCGCCCTACGTGCATACCTCACTACCACAACACGGCACACCGACTGCGCGCACTTGCACATCGATTCGGTACCAGGGTTGTTTTCACATGTAAATTTAAATTAAGAGGCATGTGCAACCAAGTCAGCAACCCAGAGCCCCCACCCACATGCACAAAAAGACACACGCAGTGCTTCCGATCCTGCACAAGGGAGAAGTATATAGTATCCCTCTTGTGTGCGGAGCCGAGTACATCGGTCAGACGGGGCGCTGCGTGAATGACCGTCTTCGGGAGCACTCAAGGAAATCTCGTCTCCTTCTCCCGACTCTTTTCATCCAGTCGTGGCTCACGCTAAAAGCTGCCCCTCGTGCACCCCCAAGTTCTCGAAAACCAAAATTCTAGGCGGGCACAAATCTCGATTCGGCAGGGAAATCCTTGGGTCTCTAGATTATCAAATCTTCTGTCTCAAACCTGTCCAGCCCATCCCTTTCTCTTTCCGGTCGAGAGATTCCCTTCTTGCGGGGCGAGAGGGTTCCTCCAAAGGCATAAAAAAAATTCAAATTCCCGTATATCTTCGGCTCCTTCCCTTCACCGCGCATCACCCCCCCCCCCCCCCTTTCTCTTCCTTTCCCAAGAGGGCACCGCCGGCGCATCTTCTCCCCCACCTCTTCTCAACGCCCTTCCCCCCCTCCTCCCTCCTTTTCCCAAGAGGGCACCGTCGACACTCGGGCCTGCGTGTAACGGCGACCGTGCACGCGTAGCTGCGAGCTGGGCCACATGGCTCACGCTTCCCTAACTTACCACCCTCCCTCTCAACCTCCCGGGCGCCCCCGTCGATCTTCAGGAGGCAAAGTCGAGCCAGTAAACGTTCTGTTGAAAGTCGAAAGCCTGTCTTGTCTGTTTGTCTTCAATGTCCCTCTTTCCTTATCGTAGACGCAGAAGAAGCTATAGTTTTCTTAGTCATCGTGAGCTTATTATTATGCATGATTCTTGTTAGTACTACCATGACTATCTGCGTGTTTCATTTCTTATGTTAGTCGTTAAGGTATTGACAACACGCTCGTCCTGTCTTTAAGCTATTCTAACGTTTAAGAAAAATAAAAAAATTTTTTTTTATTAAGTTTGGTTTGCTTTTTTTTTGTTATTTTATTGTTGAAGTTAAAATAATAATAAAGTTTATTTGCCTCAAAGAGTGCGTGATGCTGGAGACCTGCACAAAAACGTTGTCACATTGACAGCTTGACAAAGTCAAAGGCCCCCTCAGTGATAGATTCAGACCATGCATGAAACCAAGACCCAAGACGTTCCAGGCAGTTCCGACGTAGGACAAGGTTATTCTTATGGCCTTCTGAGACCATAAAGGACCAGTAATCAGACGTTGCATTCCCAGGTGGTTCGGTGTCAAAAGGACGTTGCATTGTGATCTGCTTGAGCACAATTTGAAGCCTATGATCAGGTCGAAAAGCCGTAATTAGCGGTCTTTTTGTGTGTTGCTGCAGCACAATGAATGCCCCTACGCGGCATAAGGGAAAACAGAAAAAAAAAAATTTAAAGGTCTACGCTCTTAGTGCATTCATCATCCACCTTTCTCAAAGTACCTGGAACCGAGCGATTTTATTTTTTGTCCAATCCACTCAAAGCGGTTGTCGGCAGAATGAAGTTCCGTCCAGGAATGAGCTGGAAGCGGCTGCGAATCTGTAGCTTCGGACTCCGGAGTTAACAACAAGATGTTTTCTTCCGCGGCATCCACCCTTTGCTAAAGCGCTGGAGCATACGCGTTGAACGCGGAAAGGAATACGTTGAAAAGTGGAAAATTGATTTTAATCCCGTCTGTATTATTACGCAAATAAAATATATATTGCGTTTACTTTTTTTTCATTCTGCTTCGTAGATAAGGGACGTCCAATCTCGGCACTCTGTAGACCTAGCTGGTTTTGCGCCAAGAAAACCCCAACCAAACTTTCATATTTTATACAACAGTGATCCTTGGCCAATCTTCTCCTTGGGTAGGCGCCAACAACTCGAGGGCAACAACGGAAGGCCGACTACTGACGCAACCGAGCGGAGCTGAGCCGCAATGTCCAACTTAACTCGAGAAGGCAGACAATCCCGGAGGCTCACCTGCCCGGACGGGTTGTAGGTGAAGTTGGTGGACTGCTTGTTGAAGCGGACGTCAACGGGCTTTTCGCCTATGCCGTACACCGTGACGGCGTTCAGCAACATGATGGTGTCGTAACTGCAGTGCACGCACATGCTGGACACCGTGTTCTGCAGGGAAAGAAAGTGTTTGGGGCTATGGATTCCGACCGTTCGAGAGACACCTGGCACACGAAGCACACGCGCCTGGAACCCATCTTCGACCGGTGCGTTTACCGCGTCCTAAAAAGAGGTCCCTCGACTTCCGCCTCATGATGTCATAGAAGTGTCATGTGGTCGCCGGCCACGATCCTGGTGGTGGCCTGCCACATCAGCACAGGTGGATGTAACCATGCAGTGGCGGATTCAGAGGGGAGAATGTCCTTCCCCCTTAATTTTTTTGGTAATTCCGCATGTGGAAGAGTTTTGAGGAGGGGGGGGGGGGGTTTCTCAGACATCGGGTACTCTGACCCCCCGCTCTGTAAACACCTGCATCCCCCCCCCGGATGCAACAGACACCACTCCTGCTGCGAGTCGCTCTTCCGCTTGGCAGTCTCCGAGAGCTTCGGCAGTCAGAAGTTGGGACGTCCCGATGACAGCGACACTCGCCTACTTTCATGATTTTTGCCGGAACTTCTACGGCCATTAAAAGGTTAAAAGGCCATAGAAGTCACAGTCGAACTTCTACGGCCAACTGTAGAAGTTCGACTGTGACGTCATTTGTTCCCTTTTTGGGACCACTTTTGATGCATGGGCACGATGTATATACAGTATAGACGCTAAGCAGACAAGACGAAGACCCAGCCTCATGGTACATTTGAACTACCTCGGGTTATTTAGAGCAAAATAAAAGTGTCGTATATGGGCGAACTGGAGGTACGTAGGCTAGCACTTTGTTTAGCATTAGTTCTCCCACCGCAGCCAAGATCCGATGGAGCCCATCAATCAGCATCAAAATTGCATCGTCACGGCACTCGTGATTTTAGAGCTCAGCTCTTAGGCGCCCATTTCCGGCTTGAGTGTCGTCGTCGGCGTCGCCGTCGGCGTAACCACGCGTTGCATTATGGGACGTTTCCCACAACGACGTCACACGTGACGTCACGTGTGACGTCACGATGGTCACCCAAGCGAGGGATACGATGGTTACCCTCACGAGAGTAGTCACGACGTTACCCCCGTGACGTCACACGTGACTTCATTTTAGTAAACATATGACGTAAGGCGCCACGTGATGTGTGACGTCACACATGACGTCACGTGACGTCAAACGCATCTAGAATCGCCAATATTCCCGCTAAATTTAGCGCGGAACTTTTCATGCTAAATCTGACGGAAAACTATTACCGCTAAATTTATCCTCGTGACGTCACGTGTGGCAACACGTGTGACGTCACGAGGGTGAAATTTCCCCGCTAAATTTAGCGCAAAAAGTTCCTCGTTAAATTTAGCAACGAAGGAAGAGGGGCATACCCTCTCCGCCATACCCTCTCCTCCTCCTCCTCAAGAGCTCCGCTCCCATTCGGCGTTACAGAAAATTGTAAACGTCTTTAATTTTTTTGTGGATATGCTATTATCGACTAAGCCAATCACGCGCAAACAAAAACGCAAGGACGCGGCACGTTCACTCCGCGTGATTGCTTTCGTCGATGACACGAGACGCACAGAAGCGATGAAAGCCGCGACGATTTGGTGCCGTTGACTGACACTATCGTGATGTCGCTGCGGAAACGGAGTATGCGGAGGGCAGGTCGTCTGCTTCTTGCGCAGGAGTTCTCTGATTGGCTCTGATTGGAAGGATAGTGGGTAGACCTCAAAGCAAGCTGCCTCGAGGTCTACCCACTATCCTTCATTGAGAACCAATCAGAGCTCGGCGTTATGACGTCACCAGAACCCCTGCAAAAGAAGCGGACAAACTTGTGCCAGCATAGATCCCTCGCTTGGCGCTTTTCGAACCTCGGGCCGCGTAATATTTAGAGAATTTTTTTTTCTTTCTGGTAAAACATGTAACTGAGGGCGCTTCACTCGCTCTTTACCTTGACGGCGATGAATTTGACGAGGCTGTATTCCCCCTTCTCGTAGGAACCTGGGAGAAAATTGTGATATTGAGTAAGATCGAGCTAGATTTTCTCCCATATTTAGGAAATTCCGCCGAGGGGAACGACCGTGTTGCAGCGTGCCTATAAGCATAGTTGCGCGAGATAATGTAGTTCGGGGTGCCCTAATAACGAACGACAACACGTCTGTAAAGTGTCCCGGTAGAGCACCGTCTTCAAAGCCGCTGGAAGGGCATTGTTGGTGGCAAAGAGGAGGCTTTCGCGGCTCTGTTTCAAGACTCTATATATTGAAAGTGACGCCTGAAACGGAAATATGAGCTAACCGGAGCGGTATAAGTGCTCCTTTCAACATTCAACTTCCGTATTTACATTCGAACTCTAAAGGCATCCAAACACAAAACCGTTGTTTTCTATTATCTTTTGTTTCTTAATGTACATTAAGCGACTATTTGAGCGCTGCATCCAACTGTCTGTACGCCATTGTATACTAGTAAGGTGCATGCGGGCAAGGGCGGGAAAGTTTCGCGTTGGAGAACAATGGAAGCTTCTGACATATAGGTCTAAAAACTATCAATGGACCCTTTTGAAAACCTCGTCAAACAAAATTTTGGCCACCGTTTCTAGTGCACGAAGCGTGCGCATATGGAGTACTGGTTCTTGATACGAGTTGAGCAGAGTACAGTGAACGTTGCCACAACCCTCGGGTTCAATAGGTGTTCAGACTGCGTGCCCAAACAATGGCGGAGTTGGATAGTTGATGCACCAGCTACTATAGGTGGCGTGCGCTCACGAGAAGGGGGAGGGAAATGTAACGTACCGATGTACTCTCCGTCGTCCCAGTACAGCTCTCCTGAGGCCAACCCGTCTCGGTTTTGAGCCACAAGCAGGTTGAAGGGTTTAAGGCGACTGCGTATCAAGTCGTAGAGGAAGCAAATTTTCACGGAAAACGAAAAGATTTCATCAAATGACAACAACTACAACAACAATAAAAGGACCTGGTAGTCTTTATCTCCAAATAACGTAAATTCAAACAAAAACTGTAAAGCTCCAGTTATAGCTTTGTCGAGATTTTATTACAAATTATGTTGAGGGCGCAATTCGTCCGCTACACTTTTAAATTCAAAATGAATCAAGTTACTGAACGCTGGGCGGTGGATATAGTCCTAAAATCGGAAAGGGCTATTGTTAATGTCGCAATAGAAGCAAACTTTAGGGCTCTGATTCCGAGTTTTACTTTATGTAGAATAGAGAAAAGAAACATCTATATATAATTTTAAGTTGCTCGAACACTGACAGATAATCCTTGTTTATTTATAGCCATTTTTTATTAACAATAATAACCATGATCTACGTGGACCACCACTGGGTTGCACAATTAAGGAGTGTAATGTCATGGTTCAGACTGCTTTTACGCGGCCAACCACCATAGCGCAAGAAGCAAAGAAACGCCCTGCAAAAGATTTCTTTTAGCTTTCTCTTAAGCCGGGGTCCCACTGCTTATACATCAAACAAATGACAGTCTGCATACAGATTCGAACGCGAGTCACCGCGAAATTCCTGCTTCGAATGCCGCATGGCAATGAGTTCGAGGAGGAAACTTGGCACGCGGCTTTCAAACCACGAACATTGCGGTGACGCGTGTTTGTAGACTGTCTTTTGTATGCTGGTATGAGCAGAGCAGTGTGACCCTGGCTTTAGTCATTTGCAGCCTGCGGACAGGCAACTTCAAGGCGTTTTAATGTTGTTACTTTTTTTTTTAATAACTTTGCCAGGCAAACGCTATTCAGGAGGCTGTGAAAGAAAATATTTTCGAACCATTCCGACAAGCCATAGTCTGATTGCGAAAATGATTTCTGCAATAGACCCTTCCCAGTGGCGTACCAACTTGTTTTTGAGTGGGCGCAAACCAGACCCTTCCCCCCCCCCCCCCCCTCCCTCCCCTCCAGTGCCGGGGGCGGTGCCCTTGGTATCCCTTGGGTGCCGCCGGCCAGTGTTTGCCCTGCCCAGTGGCGGCTGTTTCAGGGGGGAGAGGGGGGAGGGCAAAACACATGCCTTGTCCCTCCACTCTGAGAACTAGGGGGGGGGGGGAACAAACGCCCCCTTGCCCCCCCCCCCCCTCCCCAGTTGGTACGCCCGTGACCCTTCCCAAAATTCAGTGCCACCTCGTGGCACTGAATTTAATTTTTAATTTAATATTTGCGATACCAATGGTGGTAATGAACTTGTATTTTCGGGCAAGGTCACACTCGCGAGGTGAGGAATCGTAACTGTGTTGTTGTTTCTCGATCACTTTCAGTTTCAATGGTAGCGAATATACAGCTGGTCAGAACTAAAGTCACAAGATCCGAGGAAAGTAGGGCCATTGCCTTCCCTGCTTGCTAGCAGAACACAAACAAATACTTACATACAGACGACCAAAACCTCGCAAGGTGATTGTCTAATCGGTCACCATAACTTTGGCAATCGCCATTTTGGCCCCTTCAAATCTTCGAAGCCTTGAGAGTGTCGTTCTAATCCAGTCGCACTAACATGACAATAAAGCATCATCATACTGAAGGCGTTCCTCGCTTATATAAGCGTCTCTGGCACTGTGTATGCCATCAACTTATCAATCATGCCCATCTCCAAGGATCTCTATATTGTTCTTACGTATTTCAAAACTACGTGAATAGCAAACTCTCGGTATGCAAGAAACGATCTCTATAAAGTTACCCGTTACCAGGGAATCGAGATCCGCTCACCAAGAATGAAGAGGTCAAGGAGAAATTGCTCATTTAATGAGCCAAAACGGCGACCTTACGGTAAGCTTGGCGCTACTTTCCTACGGTCCAGTTACTTCAGTCAGAACGATGCCTCAATAAAATTCTCAACACCGAAGGGCTTTAGAGCCGATTGTGTGCCACCAACAGACTGACTTAATCTAAGTTAGGAATGAATGCTTACGAAGCTTTTGTATTCTATGCCTGCGTCTCATCGTACTAATCCCTCGAGTGTATAGGCGTCGCATCATCCGCTTAGGAGCATCTTCAACGCCTTTCATCAGTCAATAGAAGGCCGCCATTAGTACGGTACAGATGCCATTCTTCAGGTAATGATAGTGATCAATGCGGCCAAACTGATTTCGGAAAGGGTTGTTTTGTTTTGGCATACGTGGCGGAATCCCCTTCATGGCGCTTATTTGATTTGGATCACGTCAGACATGTATATACTGACGCACGCACAGTGGAGCGCACGCAAAAGCAGCTGTGGTGTACGCGCAGCCTCGCGATTGTTGATCTGACATCTCTGACTCGCTCAATGCAAAGCATCCAGGCACCTGACACCCAAACACGTGGCGCCCTTTCTATCCTTCACGTGGCTTTCCAAGCGGCACACCCCTGCAATTGCACATCAAGCTACCCTAGAACAAGTGTCGCCGTCTATATTCGATATTAAGAAACTGCAACTTGCCGTGACTGAAGGGGAAAAGTTTGAGGTCAAATACTATACTTCACGAGTAATATATCGATATATAAATTCTAGAAAATGTAATGTTGAAGGATGTTTCGTAATTTAATGCCTCATAATTTGTATTCGTAGTTCAGTTGCTATAGCACGGGAAAATAACACAATTTTAAACTTTATCGTTTCTTTTAATATATACATTCTTCGCACAGTTTATTGCTTACGTTTTTTATTTATTGTGTCCCCCGACCGTTCACATAAATTATTGTGGACGTTGGGAGGTTTAAACTTGAGAGAACAAAATTTCAATATGTTATAGTATGGTTGATTAAACGCTAGAAAACAAAGTAACATTTAAGGATAAACATAATGTCGAAACATTAAAGTATAGCTAAATAAGGGCTCTTTAATTTGACATTACATTTATGACGCTAGTAAACGCATAAAAAGTTCCAAATCGTCTAAGAAGTAGCGAAACGTCATTATCGGTGGGGTTGCACCTTAACGCATGTTTGGTAGGTGATGAACGTCAAGGACTAGTTTTAAGCAGTACTCACGGAAAGTACAAAACTCGTTGCACTTTAACGATTCTTTTTACGGCCTAATAGGGTTTTGCTTCCTGACGTTTATTTCAAACCTTGCTTACCTAGCTGCTGTTGTTTGTGCCGGTTCTTGCGACGGCACCACGTGGCCACCCCGAATGAGCAGGCACAGGGTATCGTTCAGGGGAGTCATCTGGAAGTCCTCGCCCGCGCTGTGAAACGGTGCGCCCAGCATCACGTCGTACCAGATGCCCCGGGGAAGGTATGGCTTCACGTCCGTCATGTTCTGCGGAGGAACGTTTATTGTTTATGGCCTCAGAAGCAGTTAAAGGAGCTGTGCAACAATTTTTGTACTGTGCACAAATACCGCTTAAAACGGATCCCTAACGTTAATGACCTATGAAACACGCGTTCGTTTTTCACCCTACGCAATAGAAGTCCCAGAAAAAAATTTAAAAAAACGAGCAGCGTTCACCCCCTCAACTCTCAGCCAGAACAAGCGGCCACGTGATCTGGAGCCGATTATATGCCGCCAGTGTTGATCATAGCCACGCGCTGGGGTTGGCAAAGCGCAGGACACGCGCTGAGTTCCAGACATTGTTATGGCTTGGCTGTTGTCGTCGTTGCAGCGATTGGACACGGGTCACAACCCGAATGCTTCTCGAGCTAGCAATTGTCACGAGCCCAAGTCGAGTGCCCACGCAATGCGCGGGTCCAATCTATGAACCGCATTCAGATATCGTCATTGGGGTGTACTGCGATCCCCGAGTTACGTCACCAAATTTTGCAAAGGAGAGATTGAACGAAAATGATCGCTTTTGTCCTTGAAATTACACCGCAACAAAGGAGTTTCTTGGCCAATGGCGTTGCGTGTGAGTATCCTTGAGTCCCATGTGTGCCAGTAAGCTCGTGTAGAGAGAAAACCATTCCAATTAAATACCGTTGCACAGCTCCTTTAAAGCAGTAGTGACAGTAGGCCTTAATCATTTGTTTTACACATCTGCCGTCATATTTGAAGAAACAGACGAAAATGGAATAAGGCGCTGAGTTATTTCTTCATTCCCAGTATTTGCATGTAACGGAGTACAGTGAACTCTATTGTGTCCTTGTTTGTCATTCGCGCTCTTTACGCGTTAAACGGAACTTCTCACCGGTTCAAGAATAGGCAGGATCATCAGTGCCGGTCCCCACATGAACTGGGAATCGATGGCGAACGTGTTCACATCCTTCGGAAACCTGGATTAATTTAAAGCGACATATGTAGAAGGTCAGCTTCATAGCGTAGACGACGATATTGTTACGCATTTTATACCTTTTGTGTTCAAAACGATTCAGTGTGCATGTATCGCGCACAAAAGACTAAACGGGACAACCGTGATATCGGGAGTGAACACTCAACCTAGAATTACCGCCCGCCTCATTCTAATTGCATTAAATTAATAGGGTCACACCTTAGAGTTTTCGTATATCTGCATACAGTCTCTTCGACGTCACAGTGTCAGGTAGCGCTGTGATGTCATTCTAAAGGAACTCTAAATACATAAAATTTATAGGTCATCCGTGACGTAATATGAAAGTGTGACGTCTCGCTACACCGTTACGTGGTAATATGACTTCATATGGCACCGTGACATCACGTGATGCAGACGTCAGCTAACACTAACGTGGTACCATGACGTGACGTGGCCTTAGGCGGCGTAACTATCACGTTAGGCTACGTAATAGCGCAAAGAGCCCTTTAATTGCCATGCATTTAGAACGCCTTTGGAAAACGCCAGTCATTCAGTCAGTCAGAAACGTTTAATTCCATAACAAAGAAGAAAAGGCTCAAGGTACACCTAAGCACTTCTTATGAGTTGTGAATGCGAAAGCACGCACGCCGCTCTTCGCTCCCTTCAATATGCGGCGTACAACGCGCTGACCTTGGGCGTGGAACGGTGGAGCCGCTGCCTCGCGGACACGCAGCGCCATAGGGTGAGCGATCGTTCAAACTGTCGTTTGTACAATTTATACGAAGGTGTGCCGACAAGACCTGTTTTGTGAATAGCAGTGGAAGCTTTCTGTGCTCGCCCATTTTATCTCGCCACCCGAGCGCGCAATGCAACTAACACAATGCGCAAACAGTGCTTGAAGCACATCGGCGTTGTCCCCCTGGCGGATTTAGAGGAAAAGGGGGGGGGGGAAGGTTGGAGATGTCCTGACCCCCCTTGAATGGCGCATACGTGAAAATTTAGGGTGGGGAAAAAAGGTCGTGTTTTTTCAAACATCTGATACTCTGACATCGCGCGGAGCCACATGGTCTCGCGCGGGAATTTCAAGCAACTTACAACGCTTACTTGAAACATGACGTCATGCGTGGAATGAAAGCGATTAAAAATCGTGTCACGTAATGCGAATTAGAGGTTGCCTCATGTCTCAAATGATTTCACTTCATAAAGCAATTAATTTGCCTTAAAGAAAATTTGGAAGAATTTTAGGCGGGATTCAGAACCACGACCCTCCGGTTGCGAGCCAGACACGCTACTGACGAGGCAGGGCCCTCCGCAATTCCTGCTCACTGGCAGGAAGAACGTGAAAAGCGAATGAGAAGGCGATACGAACGGGGCCCGATAACGCTATCGCGTTCCACTTTTAAAGGCAAAGCTTAAGCGTCCTCTAATTTTTTTTAGTCGTTTAGGGGTAACAATAAATCCAACGCTGGTGCAACATAGACGAGTGATGCACTAGCAGACAGAGCGATTTCTTACATAAAGAAATTCAACTAAAAATTTTAGCTCTTTCGGAAAGATAATGGATCATCTTGTAATTGATTACATTAAAATGGTAATTGAAATTCGCGACTCCAGCGAAACGGACGCCACCAAGCGAAAAAATCGGGAACCAGCCGGTCCAGGTCGCTCCGCGCCCCTCCGCGTCTCTGGTGGCTTTCGCGGACACGTGTTGTCGACGCGGTGGCGAGCCGTGTAATTTCACGAAGGTCCGAAAATTTCTTAAGTTTGCCTGAGTGTTCATTAGTGTGGCGAAGCCTCAGTAGATTGTTTCCTTCCATCACGTGTTTTCGATTTCTTGGATGGGGAGGATTCGCGGAAAAACGTTTTGTTACTTGTGTCTCGATCGCATTCAAAGTGACGACTACTGGGTAACTGATAAGGGGTTTCTTTAGAAGGATGTAGAACAGTGGGAGGACGACGGACGAGGCATTTCACTGGAGGGAACACTAATGTTGCAGTGAAGTGAATGGGAAAGTTCGATAGCTGCTTTTCTTGAGTTTGGTTGTATTCGGTTAGCTTCAAGTTTGAGCCACCCACGCCGGTGGGTGCATTGGCTATTCATCTTGGCTGCTTTTCGCCGAAAAATCCTCTGGACCACTCTGAAGGAGTTGGGCTGATTTCGCAATTACTTGATTCAGAAAAACCTGCTCGCTGCAAATGATGAATGAGGGAAATTATCTGCTTTCAATAGGTGGGGCACGCGTCTCGCAACGTTAGAAGCTGTCATGGCATTATGACCTATCGCGCCTTCAATATTTATATTATACCCCCGTCGAATTAAGCCAACAGAAATATACGTCTACATTGCTCAGGCTGACCGGCCACAAAAATACTAATTTTTTTCGTTCACGATTTGAAGTCATGTTCAATGCAGAGAGGTTCTGCGTGAATCTCCAATGAAGATTCTCTTCAGTTTGTCCGCATTCTTCTCCGTGCTACCGGCTAGAACCATTTGGCTAAGTTTAACTTAGTATCTCTCTGTCTGTCAAATATACTTTTATTCAGCAGTTCACCTAATAGCTAGTTAACTAAGCTCATGTTTCAAACCGAAGAATATACTTATATCGCTTTGGTGGGACATAGTATGTAATATAATACATAACCCGCTCGTCAAAATGACTTTTCGAATGCTACTAAAACCTGGATTGAAATGCGAGTATCAGCTGCTTAGTGAGGCGCCAGCAGGTTAACATGCTCCTCGGCTCAAGAAGCGCTTGCTTAATTTCCGTAATTTTCCTTCAGCCTGTGCTGTTGACCGAGCAGACGACTGAAGCTGTTTCTTCAACGCGGATACGCACAAAAAGCTCGATTTCGCGGACAGATAAGTCGCATGGTCGAGGCATGCGAGTTGGCTGAGAGTTACCGTCGGTGGGAGAATTCTGCAGTCATTGCCGCTTTCCTTAGATGATCAAAACTGATTAGTATATTACCGTCTCTCCAGAGCCCGTAGTTTCGGTTTCGAACGAAATCTCCGAAACGAAAGTTTGACACAAAAATAAGATAAAACACACTTGGAAAACAAAACTATGCTCTGCAGGTTTATGTCCACTGGCTACACTTAACCGTCTCAGTTCAAATCAGGGTGTTGGAACGAAATGTTTTTCGTTCCGTTTTTATTTTCGTTCCATACAAAAAAGTTCCGTTCCGTTTCCGCTCCGGAACGAAAAAATAATGCTCCATAACGGTTCGTAACGGTTTCTTTTTATGCAAAAAAAAAATCGCAGCAAAACTTAAAAGGAACGTAACGTTTATTTTTACACAAAAATAGATAATTCAGGCGCTCTAGAGGAATCCGCGGAAACGACATTGCTTCTGAGATCATGTTCATTGCCTTGAGAATTAGATCATGATCAAGGCCCCGAGCATGATCTCAGAAGCAGCACGTCATCAAGTGTGCTCGGTGAAAGGCAAGACCTCTGGTCCGATAAAATAAATTTCAGCGCCGAGAAGGCCCTGAAGGCCCACAGGGATGAAGAAGTACACTTTTGCAACAGAGTCTCAGACTGCTGTATCCGTAGAAAAACAAAAGATGGACTTCTACAACGCCAGGTCACAAATTCCCGCGCTTGCCGTGATCTGTTGCCTGTCTGTGTCGTCCGAAGAAAGCATGGAGGGAGAGGGCGCAAGAGCCAAGCGTCGCGTCACCGCGCTCTCATTGGTGGGAAGCAATGGCGCCTTGCGTCATGTTTTTTGTTTCTCGTTGTATTTTTTGTCTTTGTTTTTGCTATGCCTGTTCGCCCGGAGTTTAGACGCGGGGGCGATGGCTTGCTTGTCTTCTCTTTAATTATGGTACAAACCAACGGCAGTCTCTTCGCTGCCTTCGCTGCGTGAAACGAATTACTGAAATACCTGATATTTTCCCTTGAACCGAAAACCGATAAGAAAATTTTTCGGTTTCACTCCGGAACAAAATAATAAATAACGTTTCGATTACGTTTCCGTTCCGCCAAAAAATATCGTTTTTTTCGTTTTTCGTTTTTGGTTTTCGTTTTGTTCCGATACCCTGGTTCAAATACCTATAAAATTGGGAATTAAACGAAAGAAAATATGTTAAATTCAACGCGCCCCCTGTTCAGGTGGCCCGGCCGAGCCGACGTGACCTGGACTCAGCCGCCATGTTTTTATGGTGGTGGCGCCCCCTATAGGTCGCTGGAGTCGCGAATAGTGCGAACGTTACCGGCAGAAAAAAAAGTAATTAAAGAGTTAAAATACAATAAAATGTAATTGACTACAAGTAATCAGTTAGTTGTAACTCATTGCGTACAAGCCTGGCTACAGCCCACGGGCGCTGCCCAAAAATTGAGGATATCCGGTTTGTCGTCTGCTATCAATATCAAGCGGGTGCCCTCTCCCACTATTACTCCGCCAAACTCGGTGAAATGCCCGGTGGTAAAAAAATGGCGCCGCCCTGAGAGAACTTTAAGGAGTCACACATTTTAGTGTGTTGTGATACTTTGCTTCGTAATCAGAGCTGTGGATCACCTTACTTCCATTGATTTTTGATCTCAAGTAATTCAGTGGACTCACTCGAAGAAAAGTGGCCTGGCCACTGTGTCTCCGAAGGCGTGACTGCGGTAGAAGAGCGTGTACAGGTAGGGCAGGAAGCAGTAGCGTATCTTGAGCGTCTTCTTGGCCGTCGCCACCACCTGACTTCCCATGGCCACGGGGTCTTGGTCCTTGGAGGCAGGGCGCGTCCGCGTTCGTTAATGCGACCCATAAATTCACAAGTGTGGGACTTCAGGTTCTTATGAATTGAATACCCTTGAAATCAAATTGCATTTATTACATGGCCACGAATCCTACGTCTGCACGTGATTGCTAGCCGCATTCACACTCAGGGGTCACATCTCCTTATAAAGACGGTCTTGGTTTCCGGTTATTACCGAGTTATGCTGCAGTCTCACCCACCTACTGGCAATAAGAAGATGGACCGGGGTAAGCTAGTGCCCGTAGTTCCTAAAAAGCAACTCTGGTCGATTAACAAAAAATTCGGGAATATGGCTGATTTCACACTGATGGGTACAAATGGTTGATTTCACACTGATGAGTACCTTCCACAAATAGTAAAACATGCTCGCTCGCAATCGTTATTTACCCATAATCAGAAACTGAAGTCGGTTTCTCCGACAGGTAACATTTGTGCCGCGTTGTCAGATGCACGGCTACGTACGTGGTAAGAAACCTGTCGCGCGATCTCGCATGCAACGAAACGAAAGGCTATAGCCTCGTACGCACGTAGAGCTATGCTGGTGCGACCTCTAGCTTTTCGTCCGAGGAAGTGAAAATAAGCAACAAGTAGTGTCTCTGATCTCAATGCTGGCTGCGCCAACACGTACCACGCAACTGAAAGCGCACGACGTCATGCGTGACGTCATATATGCATCACGCCATCGTTAGTGGATTCCCGCCCCAAGCGGCAGTCACGCAGAGGATCGACGAAAGTCACCGCCAAGCGGCAAACACCTGCGTCTTGACGCCTCGTGATAACGTCGTGCTCGTTGTACGACGTTCCATGACGTTCCACGACGCTCCACGAGGCGCTGTCGGCGATGCTGAGGCCACCTAGACGGCGCGCTGCGTAGATCCGCTTGTAATGCCGTTGGAGGGAAAAGGCGAAGGCATTGTTTTTACGTGCTGGTGGCCGCAGTCACTCAATTCAGCTGACATTGCGAATCTCGAACTTTACCGGCTAAGGGTCCCGGCACCGATAACAGAAGCAAACAAGCTACAGGGTGTGGTCTCCGAAGAAAGCAGTATCATGGACAGTTTAGTCGACATGTGTATTGGGTAAACACAACAAACATGCAGTTGTAGATAAGGGATATTTATTTCCGGGAAGCTCGCATTTTTTTTTGTCCTTCAAAGACAACTCAAGTTTTCGGTTTTTCGGTTTCCGAGTGAAATATATTCTATGTGCCAAACATACCTTTCCCCAATAAACGCATATGATCAAATATTATCACATAAGGGCATTAAAGAGCCGTACAAGAGTATATAGGAAACTATAAGAAACTGATAAGAAGTTTCTTATAACTACTCATATAATCCTACATTGTTCTTATATGTTCTTATAAGGTTCTTATATGCTGTTATATGATCTTATTTGATCACATTCGTTTACTGAACCCACACATTTCTAATACATACAAAAATTTTTCACTAGGGTTTTCCGCGATTTTATTAAATCCGTCTAAATAGGTAATATTACAAAGAAAATAAAAATAAAAACGCAGGCGTGTTGGTGAATGACATTGATAGTACATCCCGTGGATAGAATTTCGTTTTTAATTACTCTTTTTCTCAGGTTTACTATGAATGCAGGTAGTTATTTTCGATGTTTATTTTTATTATTTAAGAGGGTAAACGTTTAGAAAATTTCAGGTAATTACTTTGCTAATTGTCGCTTTGAACTCGTAACCTCACGTCCGTGGTAGTCTGTAACGTTCTGCAGGAAACTTTTCTTTTATTTAAATAAAAGAAAGGATTCCTGCAGAACGTCAGAATGTGTGGTGCGTGTTCGATGTTTCGGTTAAAACTTCCAAGAAGCCTAATCCGCAGTTTTTACTGCCCACTCCGTCGTAGCCGCGGTCACGAGTGCAGTCAAAAGAAAGTTTGAGTGCGTTGTGAATGTCGAGTTATGACAACGTTACGTGCGTTGCCCTTTTAGTTACGGAGAGTCGCAAATGTCAACTCTGGCTCACTGAAATAATATATACTTAAATACATCTCTACCTAGAAATGGTGATTGGAAGATATTTTTTAAGCTCACTGCTCCACTAGGGGAATATTTGAGGCTAATGGTTGGTCACAAGAGCTGTCAATCATCGTGCCCAAGGTAATTGAAACAATTTCGGCCAATGACTAGTCCTTATTTTTGAGGCATATTTACCAATTAATGAAAAAAATCTACAGAGATACGGCTCGGGCCACCACGAGCCAATAAGGGTCGCGTGGCCATTGAAAAGGCGCGCCCTACTCAGCTGTCTCAGTACGAAGTTTTCGGCATTTTTTTTTATTTCAGTGTGGTGGACACAGGACAGCCTACCAGAAAATTAATTAATTTATTTATTTAGTTTGAAGATACTGCTATCCAACTTTAGCGGGCCAAGTCATAGCCATAGGCAGAACAATAAAAAACCCAGCAAAGCAAATATACAGACAAACATTGAGTAAAACGAGTAATCAGTTTTGTCCTTGGAATCCAATCTAACGAAGAAAAGTTGACTATAATAAGCCCTGGAGAAGGGAAACAAAGGAAAAACAAAAATCTAGAAACACGGCTAGTGACTGGTGCGCGACCGACAAAATCCGCCTGGTCCGTATCGAACCAGGGACCTATCCATTTCCACTGGAGCGCTCTACCAACTGAGCTTTTTTTTTTTTTTTTTTTTTTTATTTACATAAAATGGGCACTATGTACATGGTTAAAAACACATATTGACGTAGGGAGTGCTCAGCGTTCCAGTTTGACAAAACAGCACCCATCACCTCTGGCTTCGAAGTGACCTTGGCGCTTTGAGACGCGCTGCCAAATCAGACCATCCATCTAATTCACAGCTTTTCGCTGCCTCAACGAGGCTGGTCGTACTCATGAAGCTTTCTTCAAAGTGGCGCCACGCCGGCTTGCCCCCTTCAAGAATCAAGAGGTGATCTGTGCGGGATTTCCATATTGCATGCAACCCGAGCAAAGCAAGTACTTCATAACATTTACTGTCGGGGCCAGTGCCGAATTCGAGGTATTTTGCACTGTGCCAGTCCATGTACAAATCAACTTGCAGTTTAGAGCGTAAGTCCGCCCAGAACAGTTCTGCATTTGGGCAGAAGATGAAGACATGCTGCAGAGTCTTTGGCGTTGGACACAGTGCGCAGTTCAAATTCCACGGAACAAAAAAACCTTTTTTCTCCTGCCACGTCTTCCCTGGCAGTACTTCGGTGTGAAAGCAAATAAAGAAGTCCATTGCAGCTTTTCGGACGGGATAATTTCGGAGGCGCTTAAAGACTGTGGATTTCTCACTGGTCCCTTGGAAGGAGCGATAAAGTGGCGGTGGAAAGACAGTGTCTATGGTGTCCCAATATAGCGCTTTTCTTTTCACTTTGCTCAGGCATTGCCGAGAGAAGCGCGCTTCAAAAAATTTAATGGCATCAGCGATTTCTTTATAGAACCTCAGTACTGCACTTGACGTCGCTCCTTCCAGGGTTACAACAAGCCAGGGGGCTAAAAAGTATGAAAGCTGCTTACAACTCCCTGTAACGACGAATTAGAGCGCAGCTCTTGAGGAGGAGGAGGGAAGGGCACTGGGGGGGGGGGGGTTAAACTAACCAGGGGGGGTCACGTGACCTTGGGGGTCACGTGACCTTGGGGGTCACGTGACCCCCAATGCCGATGATGTCATCACTGACGTCATCAGTGACGATGACGATGCGGGTACCGATGACGTCATTAGTGACGTCATTGAAGACTTCACCAGTGATGATGACGATGACGATGCGAATGTCGGTGACGTCATCAGTGACGTCGCTGATGACGTCATCAGTGATGATTACGATGACGATGCGGATGTCGGTAACGTCATCAGCGATGATGACGATGACGATGCGGATGCCGGTGACGTCATCAGTGATGATGACGATGACGATGCGGATGCCGGTGACGTCATCAGTGACGATGACGATGTGGATGCCGGTGACGACATCAGTGACGTCACTGATGACGTCATCAGTGATGATGACGATGACGATGCGGATGTCGGTAACGTCATCAGTGATGATGACGATGACGATGCGGATGCCTGTGACGTCATCAGTGATGATGACGATGGCGATGTGGATGCCGGTGACGTCATCAGTGATGATGACGATGTGGATGCCGGTGACGTCATCAGTGATGATGACGATGACGATGTGGATGTCGGTGACGTCATCAGTCACGATGACGTCATTGGGGGGTCACGCGACATCGGCGGGGGTCACGTGACCTAAGGGGAGTCACGTGACTTCGGGGGGTCACGTGACCTCGGGGGGGGGTCACGTGCCCCCACGAGGTCACGTGGCCCCGGTGGGGGGGCTCGCGCGGTGCATTATGGGACATTTCCCATGATGCACCGGGGTCACGTGACCTCAGGGGGGTCACGTGCCCCCACGAGGTCACGTGACCCCGGTGGGGGGCTCGCGCGGTGCATTATGGGACATTTCCCATGATGCACCGGGGTCACGTGATCTTGGGGGGGGTCACGTGCCCCCCCACGAGGTCACGTGACCCCGGTGGGGGGCTCGCGCGGTGCATTATGGGACATTTCGCATGATGCACCGCGCGGTTACGCCGACGCCGACGGCGACGGCGACGCCGACGGCGACGCCGCTCAAGCCGGAAACGGGCCCCTAAGAGCTGCGCTCTAAAAAACGTCCGCAAAGTTTTACGAATGATCTTACTATGACCGAGTTACGCTGGTCACGAAAAAATAAAAACCTTTGAACTTTTAGCTTGATCTCAAGATTCACGACTCCGAAACCTCCTTTGGCTTGACCGATAAAAATGTTTGCGCGTCTCATGCGTTCAAAACTAGAATTCCAGACGAAGGTAGCACAAAAACGATGCATCTTATGGACTTCGCTTGCATGACACGGCACAACCTGAGCCGCATACCATACGGTAGGGAAAAAAACGGAGTTGCAAACAAAGGCACGGTTTAGCATAGAAAGGTTTCGGCCGCGCCAGTCCAGCATTTTGGCCCTCAAACTGTTGAGATGAATTCCTCCCTTGCCAGTACTTAAGCAGTGAGGTTCTAGACTAACACCAAGGTAGTTTTGGATACTTGAGCTCCAGGTAATATTTATAAAACGCTCTGGCTTTACATCAAAATTTCCTAGCCACGCGCCTGTAGATTTCTCGTGATTCATTTCAGCCCCAGACACTTCACAAAAATCAAGGAGGTGTTGTACGGCGAGGACAACCTCATGTCTAGATGCAGCAACAACAGTAACGTCATCTGCGTATGCTAATATTTTCGTTGCATTTCTGGCAAGGGAGACTCCCTGAATTCTATTATCGTTAATAATCTTTCTACACACAGGCTCAAGATAAAGTGAGAAAAGTATTGGCGAGAGCGGGCAGCCTTGTCTAACAGAGGCTTGCACTGCTATCTTTTCAGTTACTATTCCATTGATCAATAATCGCGTGGATATATCTTTATAGCACAGCTTAATATATTTGGCTATAGTTCTCCCGACACCAGAGGCCTCGAGTACACTGAACAGAAAAGAATGCGAAACCCTGTCGAAGGCTTTACTTAAATCAATTTGTAGCACTGCTGCGGATAAGCCTGTCGCTTCAGCGGTTTCGGTAAGTATACGCATAGTGTGAACGTTGGAGGTGATGGACCTCCCTTTAAAGCCATAGGCCTGGTGGTCACCTACAACAAACTTAAGACCCATCTCCAAGCGTTTTGCTAGTATTCTCGCCAGTAGTTTGTAATCAGTGGTGAGGAGACTGATTGGCCTTAAATTGCTCGATGTGAGAGAGTCGGAGTTCGTGTTTTTCTTTTTAATAAGGACCGTTAGTGCCTGTCGCATAGAAGGTGGAAGTAAATTTCTTTGAAGGATGTCATCAAACACGTCACATAGCATTGGAGCTAAAATATCAGCGAACTTTTTATAGAAGGCTGAGCCTAGACCATCCACCCCGGGGGATTTTCGCGTTGGTAGCTCTTTTATAGCCCTCTCGATTTCAGCTTTCGTGATCTTTTTGTTCATGCGTTTCCTTACACTTGAGGGGATCTTTGGGAGCTCTTTGAACCACTCATCCAGCGGGATGTCTGCCGCCTCGTCTTTCCTAGTAAATAGTTGTTGGAAAACTCTTACGAGTTCCTTCTCAATGTCTTCTTGTTCTGTTAGCACTTTGTCGTCGACACTGAGTGCGTCTATCCTGCTACGCTGGGCTCGAGTTCTTTCTATGGTTTTAAAAATTTTGCAAGGATCTTCCTCCATTTCTTGTGCTCGGAGTCGGCATCTGATCATTGCGCCTTTGTATTCGCTTTCCATTAGGTGAAGCAAACGCTCTTTGCAATCACGTATATCTTCCCTGAAGACTCCAGGGGTTTTGTTTTCTTCAGCAATTAGCATTTCAAGGGCTTGTACTAGCACATACTTTGTTTCGCGCCCTTTTTTTGCCTGTGTTTGTCCGTGTTCGAGACAGAGCAGTTTAATTCTTTCCTTGACCTCTTCCCACACTACCGCGTCAACTTTCCTTTCCGCAGTTGCTTCTGATAAAATATTTCTTATCTGAGAGGACAGATTCTCGTCGTCAAGAAAACTTTCGTTAAGTTTCCAAGAGCTCCACCAGAGCGGCTTTCTCGTTCGCCGGTCCGCTTTTCCTATTCGCATCGTGACCATTGCGTGGTCAGAAAAGGCTACTGGGGACACCTTGTATGCAGTGACCGAACTTGTAAGCTCACTGGACATATATACCCGGTCTAGTCGTGCGTGACAATCGCCTTGCCAGTGCGTGTATCCAGGAAGAGGGCCTTTACACCCGTCGGTTGCATCGACGAGGTCAAAGTCGCGTAATAATTTCCTGAGTTCCGCAAGGCTTGAGTCTGATTGTAAGCCGCGCGAACAATCCTGTGCATTTAAAACGCAGTTAAAGTCCCCCGCAACAATTGTTTTGACCGGCGTGTCCAAATATTGCCGGAGATTGTCGAAAAAAAATTTTCGATCCGACGCTTCGTTGGGGACGTATACTGATATCACTTTTAACGACTCATGCCGCCAGATAACTTCCACCGAGCAAACCCGCCCGTTCTTGTCAGATTCCCACTCGGGGTACACTATGAAGCCTCTGTCTTTACGTATCATGATAGTGCTACCGCCGCTGTGCCCAACCGCCCTCGCGTGATAAGAAAAGAAGTGTCTATCAAAGAAAAGCGTCATGTCATCTACATGGGCATCGGAAGAAAGTTTGGTCTCCTGCAAGCAAACTATGTCAGCGTTCTCTTTCAGAAGCAAATTTAACAGCCACTGTTTCCTTATTCTCGAAATTAAGCTAACCGAGTTGAACGTTGCAACTTTAGCTTGCTTCATAGTTTAGAACATGAAATAGAACCAGAAAGTACAATGAAGTCAAGTTCACCGTGTTGCGAGCGAGACTTGGCCTTCCCGGAGTGCTTCCTCCGGTTGTCGCCTATGAGGGGTCTGGGCGCCGCCGGTCGTCCGGGGGAATGCGGGGCATAGGACTAAAGCGTCCTATTTTGGAGAGTCCTCCCTTCCACTTCTGGTCAGCCTTGCGTGGCTTGTCTTGAGGGTCCGTCGGAGGATAGGGGCCAAGGGGTGGGAATTCTGGGAGGTCGTCCATCTTTGACAGGTCGACGGTGTCGGCGGCAGTTTCTTCTTGTGGAGGAGCCTGGTTCGCAAGTAGGGTGTCGGAGTTCGCCGCCGCTCCTTCTGTGGAGTCAACAGCTGCAACGAGTTCCGTGCCCTGGGTTCCTCGCTCCGAGATGTCCGGGAGGACCTCGTACAAAATCTTGGCCTCGGCCGGCTCGGTGGCAGGGTGGGCTTCTAAGCTCTCCTGGACGTCACCAGTCGGAGCTTGTAGTTCTTCGCGCCCTTCGCTACGTGCTGTGGCCTCTGCCTCGTCTTCATCCATCTCGAAGTCATGCGGTTCGTCTCGAATGGTAACATCCGTGACGGCGGCATACGTGCGGACGCAGTCTTCGGTCACGTGTCCGAATCTGCGGCACTGCTGGCACCGGGGTGTTCTGCAATCTTTCCGGATGTGGCCAGTTCTTTTGCACCGTAAGCACAGCGGTGCGCGCCCGGGAGCCACAATCAAGACGTTACCGCCGCATACCTTGAGCTGGTGTGGAAGGCTGTCGATGGTGACACCCTGCTTCATGTCGAGGCGAACCACCCTGGTAGATGACTGTATTCCTTGAAAGCCTTCTGCCCTCCACGTGTCTCGGGATATTTCCTGCACTTTCCCGTATGGTTCGAAGACCCTGCGCAGGGCGGCGTCGGGGACTGGGAAAGGCACCCAGTGCACTTTCAGACGGACTTCGGTCTTGTCCGGGTCGATCACAAGACATCTTTTGTCTTTCACCGTAAGCTCTCGCGCTTCGACCAGCCTCTTCTTGGCCGCCGCCGAGTGAAGTGACAGCATCCACAGATGATTCATCTGGTAGGCACCTATCGCTGCGGTCTCCTTCATGACGCCCAAGCGTTCGAGTTCGGCCCTGAAATGTTCCACCCGGTAAGGGCGACCGGTCACGTCGCAGTGAAGGAAGACTGTGTTGGCAGCGAAGATTCCTGATGGCAGGGCAGGAAGAACTACACGGTAATCATCCGTCGACGAAAAAACAGATAAGCCGCGGCCAGAGTTGGCCGTTATCACTGCTCCATCGGAGCCAGCCATTCTACGTCTGTGCGGTGCGAGCGCAAGAAGCAGAATGCTCTACCAACTGAGCTAAGCAGGAGTTAGGCGTCAGACGAGCAAACAGGTTTTATCTGTCGCCACTGGTCTAACACCAACAAGGATGAACGGTCTGCATTTTAAGTTGATGTTGATGACGAAATTAATGCAAAGGTGCAAGCGAGCTGGAAAAGAATGAACATTTTCGGTCGCGCGCCAGTCACATAGCTGTGTTTGGAGATTTGTGTTTGTCCTTTGTCCCCCTTGTTCCCCTGCTCCGGGACTTATTATCGTCATTCTTGTCCAGTTCGCTTGCACCTTTGCACTAATTGCATTATCATCAAGAAAAGTTCATCACTTGCACTAGAAAATGTAGCAAAAGAGACAATACTATGGCTTATTTTGACGACGAGCAACACATTTATAATTGGTGTGTGCCAGCTGAAGCACATAGATAAAAAAATAAGTGGCGAGTTTTTAGGTCACTATTTGCTAATGAACACTTTAAACTCCATACTTGACATCCTTTGACGGGGTAGGTAACTTTATCTCGTGGAAATAACTTACGGTCTTTGTTTTCATAGCCTCTTTTTTTAAATTGTTTTCCTTTTTTTAGAAAAGTCCCCTGTATACAGTGAACACGAACCCCTATATCCATTTCCCTTCGAAGTCTGACCGCAGCCGACGCTATGATCCACCTTAGCCTACCAAGCAGCGCCAAAAAATGCACCGTCACGGCGCTCGTCGTTTTCGAGCGCTTGCTCTCGCCGTCTAAGTCATCACGCGCAATGAAAGCGCTGTGATTTTGCGCTTTTCTTTGCGCGTGATCGGTTCATCCGCGATCGTAGCAGGCAACCGCAAAAGACGGCGTGCCAGACCGCAGATCAAGGTTTACTAGGAGAGCAAGTCGTCTGCTTCTTGCGCAGGAGTTGCGTTGACGCCAGATCGACTCCGAGCTCTGAATGGCTTTGATTGAAAAGATAGTGGGTAGACCTCAATGCTTGATGCCTCGAGGTCTACCCCCTATTTTTCTTTCAATCATCCAATAGGAGCTGGGCGTTCTGACATCATCGAAACCCCCCTGCAAGAAGCAGACGAACTTGCGCTCCGCATACCCGGAGAGCGTCGTTCACGTTGCCTCTTACTGCGCCGAGAGTGCCAAGAGCATTACCGTGGCGGCCATGGACGTGAAAGTGACGCCGAGTGTAATTGTAACACGCAATAAGTCGGTACTCGACTCACGATGTTTCCCTTGGCGTTGTGGTTCCTCGCAAACGGATAGAAGGCGCCCAGGGCGTGCCAGCGGTTGCACAGCTCCACGGTGGTATTGTCCCAGAAGCCGCAGATGTCCGAGCCGGTCAGCGGAACGCCCAGAATGTTGAAGGTGAGCATCGCTGCGGCCACACAAGTCCCCGCTCTTCAACATAAATGCGCTGTTTCAACCGGCTGACTCTATTACGTTGATTGTTGGGGCATCTTTAACCTGGCTCACGTCGAGACAATAGGTGTGTTTAAACACGAAATTTTACAGCGGAGCTGTTAAGGGCTAGTTTCTCCAGTGTCGTGTCTGCGGGCAAACAAATCTTGACACAAAACTCCGGACAGTTACCACCATCTATGAGTGACGGTGGCAAACAGAAATCGGTGTGCCGGTTCTGTGGTTGCCGCCGTCACTCATAGATGGCGGCAACCTTTCCAGCCTTTCTACTCTCCCGAAGGAAAAATCCATCAATGTAACCCTGTTTGGCAGTCAATGTTTTCCAGTGGACCGCTGACTGTGCCTGACTGTACGTCAAGCATATCTGACTGGCCAACAAGTTACTCTGACCGACCGTCAAACTCCAGTCAGACCCCGCTTGTCGGCTTTCTGATGGTTTCCTGGTGCAGTCGGCCGCCGCGAAATTCCGTCAAGATTTCTTGGTGGCGATTCTGATTGTACATCGATTGTCTCTGACTCTACGTCAAAAAGCTTTGACGTGCAGACAGACGTACGGTCAAAGGACGTAAAGTTCGTTCGGATACCACTATTTCGTCAAATCTATGGATACGTAAATAATCTGTGCACGAGAAAACGATTTTGGGACCTGAGCCTATAAAACCGCTAATGTTAGAGATATGACAAGCAGGACACCCGACAACCCTGATCAGAAGCCCGCCGAAACGCCGAACCAGTGCGCCGAACACGCCCAACACGCCACCGACGCCACTTCTACTTTCGCTTCGTCCGTTGAGGTTCGCCGAGCTTCCATGCAGTACGATCGCTCTCGACTCGTTTAGTTTGCCCACCGAAAAGCCGTGCCCACCGAAACGCCGAGCACGCCACTTTCAACTTTCGCTTCGAGGTTTCGGCGAGCTTCCATGTAGTACGATCGCTCTCGACTCGTTTAGTTTGCCCACCGAAACGCCGAACACGCCACTTTCGCTTCGCCCATAGCGGCTTTGCCGAGCTTCCATGAAAGATCGCTCTCGACCCGTTTGTTTGCCCGCCTGCTCTACAATGGCTTATGTTGTCGTGGAATTTCTCCTCGACAAGACCCAGTCCGTCGTGAGTTCCGACTACATAAGGAACTTTAGTGGCGTAGTTGAAGACGACAAGGTGTTCCAGGTATACTGGGCCGGAGACGCTCGAACGAAAGGAGGATTCTATCGACGCGAAAGTACTCTACATGGCAGGTGACTAGAACTGAAATACGGCGATTGATGTACGAGTGCTTGGTTTAACTGCATATACAGCCGAAGCACTGTTTAGAGCGATGCACTCATTGTCGGAACATCGCGCTGCAATACTGAAATGCTCTTGACTAGGTCCGAGAGGTTTAGGCTAAAAAGTTCATACCTTTCTATCTGGTGTGGGCTATTGGCCTTACCGCTGCGTCGCAGCTCATTATTATTGTTTCATGAAGAGCGCAGACAAAAAGCATCCGCGAGCGTAGTTCAGATATGTCTGCTGCTCGCGTTCGTCCGTGGAAGCCAGGGCTGCCTGTCGTAGCATGCATGCTTGCTCTCTAGCTTCAACGGAGTCGCATACGTTTTGTGAATTAAAGTGTATACGGTCGTCCCGAAAGGTTCAGAAATCGAGGGCGTTTCTCTGAACGATGCTTTAGGTGCACGTGGGCCCGTTTGTAAAGGAATGCCCCTTTTTCCTAAAAAACGCAAATTTCAAAAGTGAAAAAAAAAACAAGAAATAAGGACGGGTACACACTTTTATTTTTGATGTCATGAAGTACATTCATTTTAAGGCATTGTGAACCGCTTTATAGCCATGCAAGATGGCCACCTCGGCTTGCGAACCGTTTCATAGCAATCCAAGGTGGCCATCTCGGAATGCGAGCTTTTTTATAAATTCTGCCCTTGTTGATGAAATTCCCTTGTTCGAATTCAATATGAGCACCTGTCACCATTGCTGAGAAACCCTCAGCCCCGGCATTAGGTTCCAAATTATTATAGCATTTTCGAACTTCTGGTCAAATGTTATATATTTTATTCGAATTTGAACGTGCGGTAATGACCCATAATGTAATATAAGATTGCACAATTTTCAGACCCTGAAGAAGATGTAAAGAAATTTCGAATGGAGGGGAAGCGTCGTTTTTGTAAGAATCGATCGAGAGAAAAAAGAATGGTTTGTGCTTTTGCATTATCTCTGTATTCCAAGAAATTTATTGTGCACTCCTCTTAGGTTGAAAACCTTTTAGTGTTGCTATAGATTTGGATACCAGCTAGGTCAATAAATTTAAATTTAAATTAAAGCACACCTTCAAGCTAGTATGGTGCTTGCGTGCCAGGTGTATATAAAAAAACGCACACAAAAAGCACTAAATTTTGTGATCGTTGATATTACATTGTAGTAAAATCTTCAAAATTTAACTATGGCTATTATGCAAGGGTATACGTTAGGCAGTGATGTTCTAAAAACCTGCGTTTATTATTTGTGTTTTTACTTTAAATTCAAAATTGAAAAAAAACTTCTCGTATAGGAAGAAAATATATAAATCCCCTGAATTAGGTGTGACTGGGCTCCTTTATAGGTTTAATTTTATGTCAAATCTGTCAATTGCTTTCCATCCCAATGTAGGTACTGAACGTTCTGAGGCTGCAGTCTATAAATATTGCTAGATTAAATTTAACGGAGCTCATGAGTGGGCAATTAGGAACAACTTTTGCGAGTCCAGCAGAATTTTTGTTTAAGAATGGTGTAACAGTAGGAAAAGGCGTGGAGAAAGGTGCAAAAAACTCTTCAATATTCAATTCGAAATTATTCGGCCAAAACCACTGTTCACTTTGAATTTGCTTCAAACTCAAAATTCATTATTTGCACATGCCTAACGAAGAGTTGTCGGGTCTTGTGAAAATGGTGCTCATATTGATTGCAATGAATAGCTATGTGCTCCGCTTAGCGGCGGGTTCTATGAACAGCAGCAGGTTAAATACCTGCGAGGGGACTGTGAGACATATTCAACACAGAAGTGTCCGTTTGATGTCGAACTCGCGGCAATTACGTCACCGTGATACAAACTCTCTACAAAGTAGCCCACAACATCTTTTTACGTCAAGCAAAGATTGAAGACGCCATCGGTACTGCCAATAGGTTAATTAAGACGTCTACAAAATTGCCGGCGTATGATTGTTCAATGCATAGATAAATATGTGTACAGGCCAGGTCTTCTAGGCATAAGACTTTAGTCTCTCTATGCTCCAGCAACTGCAGTTTTTTCTACGGGCTAACTTTTAAAGAGGTTGTATAAAATTGTTTGACTTGAAAGCTCAAAATTGTTTGCTCCCAAAGTGAGAATCTCTGCCCCAAAACCAGTTTTTACCTGCTACAAGATCTCCAAATCACCACTTGTCAGTTCCACCATTTTAGTTCCCACTTGCTTTAACTTAATTTATTCTAACAGTGCGGTTTGTTTTACCTTTTCAGATCGAGCATCGCTCAAGGCAGTTGTTTTCTGTGACCTAATAAAGATACAACAGGTTTGACTTAGCATTTTACTTGTCATTTTATGGGCTGTTTTCCTCCAAGTTAACTTCCAGTGATCCTATGGCAGTCGAAAGTATGTAAAAGTTTCTCTGGCAACGCTGCAATATGGTTAGCCTATCCTATCAGCTCAGCAGTGATCACAATCACATCTTCCATCAAGTATGTTCCATCAAAGACCACCACATACGAAATTTGGGACATTCCATCAGTGGCAGTCGGACGTCATCTGATGGACCGTCAGGGCACGTTCCACCAGGGCTGCTGACTGGCAGTCAGTGTCCCAAATTACGTATCTTGATAGAATTTTCAATAGGGCTGGTTTTTACTAGAGTAGAAAGGCTCAATTTCTCTAGGCATCGTCCTAGAAGTCGTCCTCGAAGACGACGCGTAGAGGACGACGTCCTCTAGGTGACGTCTTCGAGGTCGTCGTAAACGTTGTTCTTGAAGTCGTCCTAGACGTCGCCCTTGAGGTCGTCCGAGAGGCTGTCCTCGAGGGCGTCCTAGAAGTCGCCCTTGAGGTCGTCCTAGAGTTCGTACTTGAGGTCGTTCTAGAATTCGTCCTTGAGGTCGCCCTAAAAGTCGCCCTCGAAGTCGTCCTAAAATTTGTTCTTGAGGTCGTCCTAGACGTTATACTCTAGGCATCATGCTTGAGGTCGTCCAAAAGTCGTCCTTAAGGTCGCCCTAGACGTTGCCCTCGAGTTCGTCCTAGAAGTCACCCTCGAGGTCGTCCTAGAATTCGTCCTTGAGTTCGTCCTAAACGTCATCCTCTAGGCATCATGCCTGAGGTCGTCCAAGGAGTCGTCCTTAAGGTCGTCCTAGACGTTGTCGTCGAGGTCGTCCAAGAAGTCGCCCTCGAGGTCATCCTAGAGTTTGTCCTTGAGGTCGGCCTAGACGTCGTCCTCTAGGTATCATGCCTGAGGTCGTCCAAGAAGTCGTCCTTAAGGTCGTTATAGACGATGTCCTCGAGGTCGTCCTAGAAATCGCCCTCGAAGTCGTCCTAGAAGCTTGGTCTGCTGGGCAAGTTGGTAGTGGACATTCATATTAAAAATAGCGCAAAAGAGACGGGACAAAAAGACGAAGAAGCACACAGGACAAACGCTACGTCGTCCTAGAATTTGTCGCAAACGTCGTCCTAGAATTTGTCCTCGAGGTCGTCCTAGACATTGTCCTCTAGGCATCATGCTTGAGGTCGTCCAAAAAGTCGTCCTTAAGGTCGTTCTAGGCGTCGTCCTCGAGGTCGTCCTAGGTCGCCCTCGAGGTCGTCCTAAAATTTGTTTTTGAGGTCGTCCCAAACGTCGTCCTCTAGGTATTATGCTTGAGGTCGTCCAAGAAGTCATCCCTAAGGTCGTCCTAAACGTTGTCCTCGAGGCGTCTTAGAAGTCGCCCTCGAGGTCGTCCTAGAATTCGTCATTGAGGTCGTCCTCTAGGCATCATGCTTGAGGTCGTCCAAGAAGTCGTCTTTAAAGTCGTCCTAGACGTGTTCTTGAGGTCGTCCTAGAAGTCGCCCTCGAGGTCGTCCTAGAATTCCTTGAGGTCGTCCTAGAATTCATCCTAGAGGTCGTCCTAGACGTCGTCCTCTAGGCATCATGCCTGAGGTCTTCCAAGAAGTCGTCCTTAAGGTCGTCCTAGACGTTGTCTTCGAGGTCGTCCTAAAAGTCACCCTAGAGGTCGTCCTAAAATTTGTCCTTGAGGTCGTCCTAGACGTTTTCCTCTAGGCATCATGCTTGAGGTCGTCCTAGAATTCGTCCTTCAGGTCATCCTAGACGTCGTCCGCTAGGCATGATGCTTGAGGTCGTCCAAGAAGTCGTCCTTAAGGTCATCCAAGATGTCGTCCTTAAGGTCGTCCTCGAGGTCGTCCTAAAAGTCGCCCTCAAGGTCGTCCTAGAAGTCGTCCTTGAGGTCGTCCTAGACGTCATCCTTTAGGCATCATGCTTGAGGTCGTCCAAGAAGTCGTCCTTGAGGTCGTCCTAGACGTCCTCGCGAAAGTCTTCGTTTGTAACCACGAGGACGTCGTCCTCGTGGTTACGAAATCAATAAGTACCGTGGATCGTTATATATATACAAGCCCTTGAGGCTTATTCCGGCTCGCTATTGTATTTTGAAAAATGATTGTTCTACCAATAAAGCTATGTTCTGTGTTCTATATGTGTGGTTCTTTAATCGCTCAAATACCCATTTACACCATCACACCTTAATGCTCACATTTATAAAAACTTTATTCCCACCATAGTACAGCTTCGCTGGAAAGGCTGAAGATTTTTGTAAGCTTTGACGGAAACTCAAAATTCGAAGAAAGTGCCCGTCTCTCCGCCGTACCTATACAGTTTTCCGTTTTCCGTGCATACTTATAGGCCCCGAAAACGGGCTTCCCGAGACCGTTTTGACAAAAATCGGGGAAAGCCGAAAGAGCCCGAGTTGTAGAGGCCCTTGAATAAAATAATCCGAAACTTAGCCGGAACAAAAATTTTTCTACGTCCAGAACACAACCGTCACTAAACCGCTGCGACGCTACTACAGTCTTCGAGAACAAAACCATTTGTCTCGTTTGTTCCCTTATCAGTACAAGGAACGTTTTTTTAAGTTATCGAGTCACGCGCAACTTCGGATTAGGGAATCCAATTAACAGCAATTTTTTTTTCTGCACTGAAAAACACCGAATCTGCGATAAAAAGGAATCCCGAAAAAAACATATTTTAACAAAAAAAAAAATGTAAACCCAGTAAACAGGAAACCGACTCATACTTCATGAGAGTGCACGTCAGCACGACTGGTTCTGTTACCATGGCAACGTAAGCACAAAAAACAAAAATGTGCAGAATTAAACCAATATACAGGGTGTTTCTGCGAAGACTTTTAAACATTCATAAAAGTAAGGTGTTTCAGAAAAGAAGCGAAACTGTCTTCATAAACAAACTGCCGGTCACGGCGTACGTCAAGGACTGCCAAAAGCTACGAATCAGATTAATAATTACCTGAAATTAAGCAACCCCTTAATTATTTTAAATAAACGCATGGTTTGAATTTGAAACATGCTGAGTGTCACGGAAAACTCCTAAATCAGTATTTTTGGACGACTCGAAGCAGGTGGGAGGCGCGGGGATGCACTAAAGTTACCACTCGTGCCGCAGGCGCATGTCCGACGATGCGAGGAAGCGCATGATGTTCGTATCGTTCGTGTTTTCGCATCGCCGGCCTTCCTGCTGAACGAACGGTAAATGTAGTACACCCCTGGTCTTGGCGACAAATTGATATTCCCCTTAATTTTGTGTATGCAATTAAACAGAATCCTGCTATAGTTCGTCTCCACTTGTCAATTACTAACCGCAAAGACGGCTGGTTCATGGTACTTACTCAGCAAGTGCGAGCTGATTGTTGTGATCGGCGCTACCGCTGCAAGAGCCTTTGTGCAGTTGGAGCACCAGGCAAAACTACCCGCTGGCACTTGTTGCCTCTCGGTTAGTTTGTTTTAAGGTAAAACGAAGTATAACAATGCTACAGCGAGCTCAAGACCGTTCATGAAAGGCTGACCAAAGCGACGCTTTCGGTCAGGCTGCAGGTCTTGAGCTCCAGCGTGATATTGCGCACAAGACAGTAGTACGTGGAACCATGCTTGAAACACATATCTACTTGGTTTGTTCACCTCTTTTTATTTTATCTGATACACATAACTTTTTTGTCGGCGGACATTACGAACCATGGTCATAGCAGGCAGTCACCTGTCCGACAATATAACGTCGGCGGAGGCAGCAGACTTTTCTTTTGCTTCATCAGCGCTCTCTAGCAGAACACAAGAACTGACAGCTTAGGAAATGCAGGGCGTTTCGAGTCCTGAGCATTTAATTATTGCCCCAGAGCCAATCAGACTGCGGTATCATGTGACAAGAACATCGAGGAGCCAACCACGAGCTAAGAAACGTAATAGGCCACTTAAAATGGAAAGAATAAGAACATTAAAAACACGAAGGACTTTCACAGACAACCACACCCTTTCACAACAACTCTATGAAAGCGTGTGCTTGTCTGTGAATGTTCTTCGTGTTTTTAATCTTTCGATTTTAAGCATTCATAATCACAACACGCTCGCCTTAACCAGTTCAATAGGCCACGCCTTGCCCTGTGTTTCTGACACAGCCGACCGAACGTCCAGCCAGCGCTGGTACAGGAGGCCTGTTTGGTGCACAGCGACGCCAGCAACTGTTCCATCCCTTCTAAGACAAGTTGACCAGGTTGACTATTTCTGATGCTCATCCCGCGGCCTTCGAAACGTATTGTTATTACGTTGTTGCGCTGCCTCTCCTCGTTCTTTTCCGTATCTCTGTTTTTTTTTCAGTGGGTATTTACCATTAGCTCGCCTTCGGATTAACTTTTATTTACGTAATTTGATGCAGTTTTGTCGAAACTTCGATCCACGGGGGGTATAGGACGCTAAACACACCAGTCAAAGACGGATTCCACGTGTACCATATACTTACACGATATGGAAGAGCGGAGGGAGTCCCAGTCAGATTCGATGTCTCCGCTCCAGTGCCCCGAGTAACGACCCTGGCCCGAGAACGTTGACCGGGAAATGATAAACGGTCGGCGCAAGGTGACCTGCCGTAAGGAGCTGAAACAGACGGTGTATGTTTTTGAAAAGTTATGACTTGTTTCGTCCTAAGCAACAAAGCATGGTCTTTAATATCTTAGATTGCATTGAACGCACGTGAATGAGGTTTTAGCCGTTTTGGGTTTCTAACGCTTATAATAAAGATATCAAATGTCTTAATGCAGAATTATATTAATTCGGAGGAAAGCCCAGATTTCAGAGCGCCACGTTGCGAGCGTCGTATGCAAGAGTAATAGTTCTTAAATTATCAAAAACTTACAAAAAAAAAAAAAACAAAGAAAAACAACAACGAGGAAACAAAGGAGGCAGGAAAGAGAACTCCGAGAAGATGGGGGTGCATCGAAGATTAGGCAAGATTATAAAAAAGATTGCAAACAGATGGAAGAAACAAAAGGAATACAAAAGGAGGACGTGGCGGCGCTTTGGGAAGATATGGCGGCGCGCGCCAGGGAGACTCAGACTGAAGGTCGGCTTGCTCAGCGTTCCCCCAAAAGCACAATTCTTCATGTGAAGGTTTGATCACTAAAAAATCAGCAGTGGATCTTTTCTTTTTGCGCTAATTTAACTTCTTTGACTATATATTAACATCAACTGACTAGAAGCCCCAAAAGTATAATGGTAAAACTAAAATTGGATTCTCAATAAAAATCCGATCAAATCAACATAAAAGCCAAGCCTAAGAAAACAAAAATACCCGTCAAATTTTGGGAGCATTACGGAGCTGTCCCTTCTCGAGAATCATCACAAAAGTATGTCTAGCTGCACAACAAAAAACTTCAGAAGGCTAAACCCAGATTATGGATAAACTTGCACGCATACATCGGAAACTTTCTTTACTTGGGTCTCTCTGTTTTGCTTCTTTCCGCCTCGGCGCTGTTTGTCTTCGGATTGGAAGTTAAAGCATTTATTAGTACATTTTGTCCCTCGACTGCGTTATATTACTCAGTTGGCTTTATTTGCAATAAATCTAAGTATGAGATTCCTTCGCTTTCGATCAGTATAGAGACCACGACAGGTGTTCCATAGAGAACTGCACCACTGCGCCTAGATCGCGTCTACGACTGGTGTTTTTCTCCTATACCGTCAATGTATCGAAAGTGGCTTAGAAGGGGCAAGATATTACGTTACAAAAAAAGTGAAAGCCGTTTACAAATCCCTGTAACGCCGAATTGGAGCGCAGCTCTTGAGGAGGAGGAGTGAAGGGTACTGAGGGGAGGGTAGACCCCTCCCCCTTCTCCTCCTCCTCCCCTCATTCTTTAATATGCTCCGGGGGGGGGGTGTCACGTGACTTCGGGGAGGGGGTCACGTGACCTCGGGGAGGCGTGACCTGGGGGTGACCTCAAGGCCACGTGACCCCGAAGGTGACCCCCACGTGACCTTGGGGTCACGTGACCTGGAGGGGTCACGTGACCTGGGGGTCACGTGGGGTCACGTGACCTTGAGATGACCTTGGAAGGGGTCACGTGACCTTGGGGGTCACGTGACCTCGGGGGTCACGTGACCTTGGGGAGGCGACCACGTGACCTCGGGGGTCACGTGACCTCAGAGGGGTCACGTGACTTGGGGGTCACGTGACCTTCAAAGGGTCACGTGGGGTCATCTTGGGGTCACGTGACCTTGAGATGACCTTGGAAGGGGTCACGTGACCTCGAGGGGTCACGTGACCTTCAGGGGGTCACGCGACCTTGAGATGACCTTGGGAGGGGTCACGTGACCTTGGGGGTCACGTGACCTTGGGATGACCTTGGTTACGCCGACGCCGACGCCGACGGCGACGGCGACGCCAACGCCGACGGCGACGGCGACGCCAACGCCGACGGCGACGCCGCTCAAGCCGGGAACGGGCCCCTAAGAGCTGCGCTCTAAAACGTTCTGCAACGCTGTGTGTCGTTGCGATCCTGGTGGTTAGTCGTGAAAGTTCCTGGAAAAGGTGCGAGGGAACGCAAGTGTCGCTGTCGTCGCGGCGTCCTAACTCGTGGCTGGTGAAGTTTTCATGGTCTGTAAGGGTAAGAAGCGACCTATAGTCGTCTGCCCAATCTCACTCAGCTGCTGTGTCAGCGCCAGCATTGCATTGGGCAACAGCGTGACGCAATGGTGACGTATCAAGCGGACATAGAGAGACCACAAATGCAGATGCAGTAAGTCCAGCAGTGTCGGCGACACGTTCCCGGCACCGTAAGCGAAGCGCGAGACGAGCGCCCTACTCACTCGTAGGTCCGGAGGGTCTGGGTGTAACCGTAGAGGTTGTGCAGGTTGTAGTGGCGCGAGAGGAACTGCCTCCCACTCATGCACAGGGTCTTGGTTCGCAGCGCCTCGCGGCCTTCCCCGGGAACGTAAGGCGGTTCCTCGAGCACCGACGACGGGCAGCCGCGCTCGGATCCGTTGTACAGGCTGGACGGCTCGTTCAGGTCCTTAAAGGAGCCATGGAACGATTTTTATGCTTTCGCTAATTACGGCTTTGAATCACTCCCTAAAGTTACTGACTGAACAAACTTCCCTTAGTTTTTTTTTCTTTTTTCTAGGCAATGGTAGTTGCCAAAAAGATTCGAGAAAGATGAGCACCGCTGATTCCCTCAACTCGGAGCCAGAACAAGCGTCCTCGTGATCTGCTGACTATCCTATGCAGCCAACGTTAATCATAAGCACACGCTGGGGTTGGCAAAGTTGAAAACGCGTGCTGAGTTCCAGGAATTGATAGAGTTCGACTATTCTCATCACCGCAGTGCTTGGACACGAGCCAGTACCCGAGTGTTGGCAGAGACATTGATTGTTATGAGCCGGAGTGGAGTGCTCACGCAGTCTTCCTGTCCAATCCATAAGCCGCGCTCCATTGTCGTGAGGCGGGTGGTTTCGATCCCACAATTACGTCATCAAGCTTTGCGATGGCAAGACTGAAGAAAATAGTCCCCTTTATCCTCGAAATTTCACCGCGACAAAGAAGCTTCGTTGTCAGTGGCGATCTGTGCAAGTATACAACGTGGCTCCTTTGCTCGGCTGAGATAACATACCTTTCCGGCAGAAAATCATACTTTACGTCACGGCCACGTGATATCACACGTTGCTGGCCGAGTCCGGTCAAGTCGAAGAGCAAAGCAGACGTAAATATTTATCTTTCTTTCTGTGTGTGTAAAACTGGAGTCAATAAAACGAAAACGAATTCCTGCTCAAGGTTCTATGAACATTGAAGATTAATTGGGTTCTTCGTTTGAAAAAAAGCTGGAAAATCATTTTATGGTCCCTTTCACAGCTGGCACGCTTAATTAACACTTCCTTGACAGCAAGGCCTCTGTAATGATTTCTCAACGTCACCTACCAGGGCCAATGCGGGGCGAACATTGAAAACGATTGCTGCGTCAGCGTTTGCTAGGGCTCGTGTTCAATCAGCGAAGACACGAGTTTCAGCTGGACGCTGCGCGGGATTTGGGTTTAATCCTTGGCCAGCGTTGGCCTCCGGTTGGTGACGGAGGTACTTCAGCACTATGGTCTTGCTTCCAGGGAGGTTCTGCGAAGGGGCTCACAAAAGTAACAGGAACATAAAAGACCAATGTAACTCGGTCGCACTTAAAGAGGCGGTGCAACGATTTTAAGATTAAAAGAATTTGCATCTCGTAATTTTTACGTTGTTTATCATGTCCCGGAGGACAGAGAAAACATCTCCTTCATTAAAAATGTCGCGATTCCGCTGCATAATCGCAAAGCAAAAGTCGAGCTTTTTCCCCCACCTGCAGCCCCAAGTGGCAGCCGGAGGAACTACGGCGAAAAGCTTACGTGACCTCGCTCGGCTCTAAGCTGCAGCATAACGCCCGCTAATGTCAGCAGAGAGAGGGAGAGGAAGCGTTCTTCGAGATAACACACGGGAACCTACACGGCACTCCGAATGACATCACTAGGAGGGGGACCAGGTGTGACCCTGAAGGCTAGGAGTGAGTTGAGGGGTGCCCGAAATGCCAATATTTATCGTTTTTCTACGCAACAACTAGGACACGCAGGCGAAATCCCTTTTCTGTTCTTTACTTCAGAAGTTTAAGAGGGCAACTTCCAGAAATCTTTGACCGAAGTCCGGAAATCGTTGCACCCCCCCTTCAAGAGAATTTACCCCGTAGCTTCGAACGTAAAAATGGCCTACATAGCCCTTTTGCAAAATTCTGTGAGCAGTGGTCGAGAGCGAAGCACGCGACGATTTATGGAAACGTCCTTTATGCTCCTTCTTTCCCAGCGGCATATAATAAGTTGGACACCATATTTTCTATTATACTATTTCTTTCGGCCTTGCCGAAAGAAATAGTATCGCATTTATAAACTCGTGCGTCAGGAGTCGACCAAATTGTATCTGGAAATTTACGGCGTCATTATTTTTCGACTAAAATATACCAGCTGAACTAAACTGTTCACTTATTTCGTGCAAAATGTACTACACATACGCAAAAAACTCGGAACTTATAGATTGATATTAGTTTAAAGTAATATATGAAATGTCTCAAAAACACGAGAAAGATTTGGATATTTGTCCAGGAAGCATATACCATATTGTCAGAAACAATCCCGCGTTTGCCCGCGCCAGCTGTAGGCACTGCGTGTTCGCAGGAACCAGATTTGCGTGTGACGAAGCTTCTGGGCATGTGCCGTGCAAACAGCAGCGCCACCGCCGCGGCATGACGTCAGAGCCGCGCGTTGGTCTACATGATTTTTCGGATTTCGGAAACTCCGTTGCACCACCCCTTTCAGATGGTATAAAAACGCGCAGAGCATTTTGAAGGACCTAAAAGACCCCAAAAGATGTGCATGCTTTGCGCAGAACTGAGCGGGAAAAAGTTGCGGTCCACAAAGCATCACTCACGAGCCAGAGGCCGTCGAAAGACACCACATCGTGGAAATAGGAGAGCATCCTGCTCCAATAGTCTCCACTCAGCGGGTGGGTAAAGTCGGGAAAGGCCAGACGACTTCGGTTTCCAACCTGAAAAAGAAGGCCACAATGTCCCGGTACGAACTATTTGAATAAAAGGAACTTGATGGCCGTTAACGATTGGAATACATGGGTTATCAGACTGTCTTCCTGGATAACCAGGGGTCCCCCAGAGTACCCTCATAAAACACTGGAGCTCCTGAATTTTCTCATCCATCACTGACCCCACAAGGCTTAACAAAAAAGGGCCTTGTTTTTCGGCCCAGGTAAGTAAACTACGTATGCTTCGCAGAATGCTCAAACTCCGTGAGAATGAGACGCAAGCTGTTGTGAAAGAATGTGGAAGTTTCAGAACATGATGTTACCTGGATCGAAAGACAACTGAGAAAACCGAACTTTCTCTATGAGCCGACGTCCGCCTAAACATAATTTCGTAAAAAAACAAACAAAAAACGAGACATTGTGAGCTACTGTCGCATCTATTTTAAGGAAGCAACTTTATCAGCAAGAACGAAAGTAATACTTACTTGGTGGCAAGTGTTTTTCACTTTTAAAAATCCCAAGAACGTTCGCAATATCATTTCTTGTTTTCACGTATGAGGCTTAAGTGAACGCCGGCTCATCGAGAAGTTTCGTTTTTTTCCATTATCTTTTAAAGGGATGCTGAACCAAACATTTCAGTGTGTATAATAAGTAGCTCACGATCTTTCCACGCGCCAGCTGCCACAGGTGTGCGCGCACACACACAACGAAATCGACGTCATCATATCCCCCATTCACGCTTATTAAGCCTGAATGGGGGATATGATGACGTCGATTTCGTTGTGTGTGTGCGCGCACACCGGCGGCAGCTGGCGCGTGGAAAGATCGTGAGCTACTTATTATCGACACTGAAATGTTTGGTTCAGCCTCCCTTTCATCCAGGCAATGTTACCGTCTCAAACTTTTGCGTTGTATACCAACCGCTAAGTTCTCATTCTCAAGGAGCTTGATCTTTCTGCGATGTTTATTTACCTGGGCTCAAAAGAATACAATTCTCTTTTTTCCCGGAGCTCCCTGTATCATAGTTAGGGTTCTGTGTTTTCGGAAAAAATCCGAAAGAACTACGAAAAACACTCACTGGTAAAATTCTGGTTAATTCGAATTTATCGAATAAAATCCGAATTTTAATTTGCCGATGTCCTCCCCCTCCCCCCCCCCCCCTTAAAAATACATTATTTATTTATTTATTTATTTCAATACCCTCAGGGCCCAGGGGTATTACACAGGGGGTGGACATAAAATATTGGCTCTGCATAAAATTCTAACAAGGCAACTTGGTTATAAATGTGAGTACCCCATAATCCTAGCGAAAGTGAGCGAGTAGTTAGAGCTTTTCTAAATAAATCTATTGATGGAATAGTTACTAATGATGCGGGAAGGTGGTTACATTCAGATGACGTTCTAGGCATGAAAGAGTTGATGTAAACAGAAGTTTCGCAATGAGGTATGCCAACTTTAAGTTTGTGATCAATGCGGGAAGAAATGAAAGGGGGGGGGGGGGGGCTAATGAATAAGATGACCTGATGAAAGGCTAATGAATAGTTTGTTCTTTCAGTGAAGCGTTGGAATGATAGATTTTACGGAAGAGGCATAGACGAGATATTTTCCGACGTGAGGAAAGAGGAGACAGGGCTAGGGTGGTTTTCATAGGTGAGACACTTGCGGTGCGATGATAGTTGCAGACGATGAATCGTGCAGCGCGATTTTTCAGGGCTTCGATGTTTGTTACAAAAGTTGAGTCACCTGGATCCCAGATAGCTGCGGCATATTCCAACTTTGAACGTATTAAAGTCCTATACAAGATAAGTTTTAGGAACAGAGGGGTTAAGGAAAGTTTCTTATTAAATATCCAAGCATTGAACTTGCGTCAGCGATTATATGATCAGAATGAGTTTTCCACGACAGATTAGAAGTGACGTGAACACCGAGATACTTGAAGGACGTTACAGATGCCAGCTGAATATTACATATTGAGTATGGTGATGGTGATGTGGTACGACGAGACACCCTCATACTTTTACATTTGTTAGTGTTCAGAGTCATTTGCCGTAAGTTGCTCCATTCCGATACCGCGCATAAATCTGCTTGAAGAAGTGCCGCGTCGGATTCATTAGTAATTTCACGATATACTACACAATCATCTGCGAATAAGCTAATAGGGGATGATACATACATTGGTAAGTCATTAATATAAATAACAGAAGGGGTCCCAAAACGGACCCCCGGGGAACACCAGAAGTGACGGCACTGAGGCAAGAATTTGCCTCATTGGTAGTAACAAACTGGTATCGGTCAAGGGTCCTGGGCGGGTTGTTCCCGTTTCGACTTATTCCCAGTACAACC